GCCGCTTCATCCCATTGTGGGAGTCCTCAGCATTGCGCATCCATGCTTCAGCCCCTCAGGACTCATACTCATGATCTCAACTATTAAATTACTATAATATCTGCAAAACCGCTTTCTGGTATTATACTACATTGTGAAACAAGTTATAACATGATAATATTTACAAAACATGAAACAATTAACATATTTACTTAGAATAATTAAAAAATAGTAATAGGTGTTTAGTTCATTGTTGTTCAATGAAAATAAGTACACAAAACTTTCTTAACTGTTTATAAATAAAAATAATGGTAATTAATAGAAAGAAATTTCTTCTCAGTTTATGAGATATCTATCACTATAAGTCATAAGCTTTATAAACAAAGATAGATAGTGATTAGCAGTGGGATCCAGGATGCGCGTTTCGTCCTATTTGAGACTCGTCAGATGGATGTACCTGCATCTCAGAGTTCATGTTCACTCTGAGACTCAAACCTTGTAGCACTCGCTTCAAACGCCATCATGTTATCCACTTAGCTACTGAATTCTGATAGCTACCTGCTTGTGCAATGGGGTGAAGTTTAAATTCACTAGATATTGTTTACTTGAATCTTCCCATTGATGTTTAGAACTGTAATTGATCAGTCTGTTATTGGCATATGTGCATACTGCCTCGATATAACCCTAATTCACAAGCATTATATGCAAAGATAGATAGTGGCTGTCAGTGGAATCCAGGACGCGCGTTCATCCTATTCGAGACTCGTCAGCTGGATGTACCTGCATCTCAGAGTTGGTGTTCACTCAGTCTTATAAGAAATAATCGAAAATATGCTTTCTGAAAGTGTATAAAAAATACCGAAAATATAGTTTTGATAATTATAAACACTAAAGCAACATTTCACATCAATATTTCTTTCTCTAAACCATAGTGCTAAAATTCTTCACATAAATTTCGAATTATTTTCAAATTCTCAATTGAATTAGAATATTATGAAACTGTAAATTCAATTACATAGTGTATTCAATTGAATTCAAGGAATAAACATTGATAAAAATGAGAAATATCAACTAACAGACTGATTTATTTACACAAAATAGTTATTTCATATTGATTGTGTGGTAGTCTACCATCATTAGCTATATATGAAGTAAGTATAAATGCTTTGTCATGAATCTCTTATTTTGTGCTTATTAGCGACAGCTCAATTAGTTTTTAGCAACTTTCTACACTTGTTATATAAATGAGATATTTGTCTGTCAATAAGCGTGAAGGTATCCTACACAGAAATCCTTTCATTTTTTTGATTAATAGTTATGAAGATAGAAGCTATGTGTAAGTTGGAAGCATTTGTTCATCTTTGGCCTCAAAGTATTGCTCGAATATCGTGAAACAAACCATTTAGTTGTGTTGAAATTTGATATAAAACACTAGATAAAGATATTGTTTTGGTTAGTGAAGCTCTAAATCTTCATTGACTGAAGAAGTCGGGATATGTATTGGATATGCACAATCACCGCCTAATGTATCTCTTAATTTTCGATTTGATAGGAGTGGAAAAAAACAACACCGAAGTTTAGATATTATAAACAATAGTCAATAAAACAAGTACATCTAATTTTTTTTGCTCATACATTGTCCTCTTTTCCAATAATGTCTAACGTATGAGGGCCAGATCCCCGAAACTCCGGCACAATCAAACAAGTCCTAATAATTTCATTAGATCAACTTCGATAACACTATATGTCTAGGTAAAATTTATGAGATAACTGGAAACTCCATCTTATAATTTCAATCACTGACTTATAAGGTATAATTAAAATCAACTAAGGACAGAAATAAAAGGCAAATAGCTAATGAGTCAAAATGCTATGAATATCGTATTACAATCACAGATTGTGTATCATTACACTAATAAATCAATACATTACTCAAGCTATAACATGTTGCAAACCAGTTCGCTATCTGTTACTGAAGTTCATATATGATGCAATTGGGTTAATAGTGAAATGTAAAATGAAAATATTTCGCAGAAAACATGTACTTCAGTAGAGTCATATATTTTATTTCACTATGGCTCTCTCCTAAAGGTGAAAAAGAACAGAGAGTATGTTTGCATTTACCTTTTATGTGTACCTAACAATCCAATTGTTTCAGAGAAACATAATCAGGCACATCCACAGCTGAGTATCACCTTCTTTAGGTTCAGATAAAGGACAAATAAAAACTTCGTACTCATCAAACTGATAAACGCAGAAAATCAGGTTAAATTGAATAAAATCTTTCGAACGACTTCTTGTATTCCATATGGTTTATTAGTAAGTCTACATACGGCCGAAGTCATCCGTATCCACCTAAAAAACCTAATCTTTATCTATTAAGTAACTTCGTGCAAACTTTTTTATTAACTTGAAGTCGAAGAAGTAACAGGGATTTACAAATGACTTGTGACCTCTCATTTTCATGATGTACATTTCATCCCTCTCTGCATAAAAATTGCTGATACTCTAGATGGTGGTTGGAGGTAAACAGGAAACCCTGGACCCGGGTTTCGTGCTATTTGGCACTCGTCAGCAAAGTGTACCTGTAATCTTGAGGGGACTGGTGCTCCCTAACGGATTCGACCCCGTGTCACCCAGCTTCATAGTCAGAGACGATACCACTGGGCCATCCGGGCCGCGAACGACCTTTGGTGGGACTGAAATGTAATTACGATTGATTGATCACTGGGTGGTGACAAATGTCATGTATGTCAAGTCCTTCTTCATCATCAATATCACATCCATACGCGGTTCGTAAAGAAAAGAGAATTGAACAAGTTCTTTATTCAATTCAGACACATTAGCAATAAATTTCGCTGTTATTTTTTTACCTACTAATAAGTAATTTAAATGTGTCTAGACGATAATTCATGGACGAATCGATCAGATTTAGGGCAGCAGGTATTGGATTTTGGTACAAAATTCTTTCATCTATATAGCTAAATAGCACTTGACATTATAGGTGATGTCAGTTCGCGATGAAAACCTTAGCGCCCAACTGTGAATCCTAATCCTGACTCATCAAACTAATTTACAATCAGTATTTAATCCTAGTATTAAGGTGAATTTTCTCAAGGTCGGTCCAGCGTAGCACAAAGGTCATCCGTAAATCATAATCTCACCGAGAAAATCTAGTAAGTAAATTCATCATGCTAATTCAAACCTAGGAAGCAAGTATGGCAGTGAAGTAGTTTTCTTCCTCAAGATTTTATTCTTCATTAGCCATGAATTCATTGGAAATTACCAATGTAATTAACTAGTTTGATTATGTTATTAGTATGTACGTGTATGTGTAGAATACGTGAAGTACAATTTAGACTCAGTGGTTAAGGCGTTCGACTCTTAGCCACTAATTCTTTGGCTCTAATCCTGCACCACGTACCTCAGTTTCGTCAGCAAGGTAGTCCCCATACTTAGAGTGTGGTTCATATTTAAGTACCTAGTTTATAAGTGAATTTTAATTAAATTTTGAAATGAGTTGATACATAGAATCATCGACTGACTTGAATATTTGAGACGCATAGGCAACTTATTTTATCCATCAATAAAAAATTGCACTTCATGAATACTAATCATTGTAAAAGTGCATACTAACAACATAAATAGACTTATTCAGCACATTACTCATATCATTATTCTCATAAACCAATGCGATTTGAAGAATTGAGAAACAGAAGACCATCAATGGTGAAACGTCAAATAATGGAACTTACCAATGGAGCATAAAATTAACAACAATAATTTTATGAACAAACACATCCGGTTTAGAACTTTTAGTGAATTGCAAAACTGTATACTGATAATTATCATGCATTCACTAGTGACTGGTTTCAAGACGTATTTCCTGGAGTTCTAGTGAGAAGCCGTGGTCAGTAGAGTTGGACCGTGTCTGTTTTGAGGCAGTTACTCACTGGAGACAATAGTGGACGGTCGCACAATATCGTGAATTGGTTGGAGTTAGACATTAACATCGCTGGATGCCAGTTTAGTAGTCTAGAGGTTAAACGTTCACTCACGAGACCGAAGGTCCTAGCCCGCGTGCTGGAATGTGGGTCCGCACTGCCGAGAAGTCCCATACTAGAATGAAACGGCCGTTCAGTATTTCCAGGTTTTCAATAGTGATCTAACATTGATTCATTCATTATTATTATTTATTTAAGCACAAACATTGGTACAAGGAGGCACGAAATAGATATGCGATACATACAAGAGAGCTGACTCTCCCCACTCTCGGCCATACCAGGGCAATTATAATTGTGTAATTGTTGATACTTGAATACAATTGTAAACAACTGACAGAAGAGCTCATATTATGTCGCTGAGATTATTTCCACTAAATTAAAATTTATAAGAGATCAGTTTAAATTGATCACTTAAACTTGTATACTGTCAATCAATACGTTTTTTTTTCAGAATCGGTATCACATCACATACCTTAGCTGATGTCAATCACGAAAAAAAAATTAGGTTACCCATTAGGTTGAAAGAACAAATATAGAAATGCTCCCTATTTTCCTTTTTTTAAAAAAAGTGTCAATGTTTCAATATAAATGCATTTTATTACATAAAACTATGCAAGTCAAGTAAAATCTGTAGAAAGAAGCAGTGAAAGTAGGATTTCAGATACATTCAGGTCAGAGATAATAACTAAATTTACAGCGGTCCACTTGAATACCTGAGTTACTATGTTCTTTCTACCATTTATATATTTCAACAGTTTATCTTTTTTTTCTCGATTATTTTAACAGCCATTAATAATAATAATAATAATAATAATAATAATAATAATAATAATAATAATAATAATAAAGTATGCAACAAAACTTGGTCGAATAAATAATTGTCCTTTTTTAAAGTAAATACATATTGAGAGGGGGGGTATTTATTTATAAATGGGAAGTAGAGTGGTGTATACAGGTAGGGAATAATGAGGGGAAGAAAAATCAAACGAATGAAGTCATTATCAATTTAGTTTGTTTTTATTTTTGTTTTCGTACAAATACAAATCCTTCACGTTCAACATCTTTATTCATCATTGTCATCGGAGCTGGGCAAACCTGAATATTGAGAAAGAAAGAGTAGAACTTTTAAAAATTGTTTCATTTACAAGATTTCATTGTTTTACAAAGCAAACATCGTAAATAACGAAAATTGTAAACGAACAATCAATTGATTAACCTTTTTAAACAACTAGCTCCCATCGTTTTTTAAAAAAAAAATCTTGTTAATAGGTATTTAATCGAGATCGTCGTGATATGCAGTGTCCGAGAATTGACACCAATATACGAGCTCAACCGACTACTGGAGTGAAAAGATAATGAGGAAGGAATTTTATGATTAATCGAATTAGCATATATAAATATGACATGTCTCTTGGGAAATTAAGTCGCTAATGGTGTTATGTCTCATTCCTTAGAAATAAAAAAACTACTTAGTTAGTCACATGCACTTATCATCTGGCCAATGTACGACATTTGTCTCCTGAATATAGGTTTGACTTCTTGGAATCAGCCGAAGTTGGGATGGAGGTATTAAAAAGCAAATAGTTATTCATTAACAACAAAGTGCTATCTGGCACAAATATGTTCGTTTTGATTGTTATAGATTGGATAAACGTAATGAGGGGAAATTAGGAAGATGAAATTATGGAAGAGATGTTTAGAAATTACACTGTCGGAGATTTTTTAGAATTCTTTTTAAGCGAAGGTAGGCTTTTCTTTCAATTTGGATCACAGAATGTTAAGAGGATAGGAACCTAACAAAATAGGATGAATGGCCACGTTATTCTGCCTAGATCGTTGTTCTTGCTTCTTTTCTAGTTAATAAAGGGAACTATGTATTTGAAGATAAAGGATAGAAGTGATACCATAAATAGTAATTAAAAATTAGTAAAAAAAACGAATGGAAGTATGAAAATCACGTTTTAATTCGCAGCTCGATGGTTAAATCAGTTCACCAAGTCACTGATTGCTGAATCGAGTCATATTGGTTAATCCAGACTGTCTGGTTGATATCTAGGAAATAACAAAGAACAGTGATTGGAATCGTTGGTTGACAACTGAGAATCGGTTACAGTGCAGCAGATGCACTCATTTTATTGTCCTCTACATCTTATGTTGCAGTATCTCTTCATACATACCTTTAAATTACTTTGTCGCCAGTCGTAAAACTAGATAACCGAGTGAAAATGTATGATTAAAACAACACGTAGATCCATCCTAACATATTTGGTCAATAACCGTTATGTAGTAGATAGAAATATCATTTAGAGGAATTTATCATACATCGACTATCTTTCCTCAATGGGTCTGATCTCGCCTCTCACATATAGTAGAACCTATAGGGATTCGAACTAATGACTCAAGTCTCTGTATTTATAAGAAATTTGTAACACCGTTATCTCTTTTTGACTAAATCAACTTTAACAAACGATTTTGCTGTTTATTATTTTCCATATCCTCAGTTCGTTTGTGTTTGTTCTCCACTCTTCAATATCCTTCAGTGTTTAATTATTTGAACATTTCATACAATAGAATGTTGGTGACTTTTTATCAATATTTCATCTTACGAGTCGTTAACCTACTTCCCATTACGAAACATTGATTCAACCCTTTATTATTCATATCGCAACTAATACATCTATTGTTACACTATCAATCTATAAGTAATCTATTCCATTGTTATTATCATAGACTTTATAAACTATCTTGACTGTTTTAATATCTGCATATACGCATTCAAATACTGCTGCATATAAGAGTAAAGTATGATCAGGATCTAACACAAAACAATGCTGTTCTTCTTTATGTGCTATTCTCATTTGATACTCAATAATGATGTGATGTGATTTACCGAAATGGGTTAATGTTAGTCACAACTAACTAATTCGCTGTTACAAACTCTACTGGAAACTCATTATTTTATGATTGAGAATTAACCGCTTCATGTATATATATATATATATATATATATATATATATATATATATATATATATATATATATATATATATATATATATATTTCAATAAGTATTATATAATGACTTTAAAATTGAATGTAAATCAAATAAGCTTAGATAATAAGGAAACCTGTGTTGATCCAAATAAAATAAAAAATGTACTGAAGTAGTCAGTACAAATAGAATAAACATATCAGAATTATTTCCAGTCAGGCATTACTTAACTTTTATCAATAGACATTTTTTATAAATAAATCAGAACAATACCCAGTTCACTGAAATGAAAGTTCTAAATATGTGAAATTATGTTTTGGCATACCCTATCGCTCTTTAGCCTTTGGTCAGTCAATCGAAAACGTGTTTTTGAACGTCTAATGGAGAACCTACTTCCGGATGAATAAAAACAATAAGTTTCAATGAAATACCAATTTAGAATTCTTGTTACCGCAAGTCATGTCATCTTACATGTCTATTTTAAACAGAGAAATTGAGAATATTTTTTGAGATGATTGGTAGAGTTGGATTTCCAACAAAAAAGGAGTTTGTCACACAACTAACAGTTTATGGGAATGAAAATTCCCGTGATTTCATTATCGTTTGAAGGAAGATCAAACTAAAATCATGCGCCCTTTATTATTGTCTGAAGCTGAGACCTTTGCCGTAATTTATTTCGTTTATGAAGCATACGAGAGGAGAATAATTGCACAAGATATTTCTAATATGCGTTGCACCGTATTTAAACAATCAAAACTTGCATGTATGTTTAACTGTTATCACTAAATTTACCTAATAAGTAGTTTTGGAACATTTACAGCACATATCGTCTAGGTCGGAGGCGAAGCACACACGCAGACGGTCAACTAGATTATTATTTCTTTTTACCACGAGATCAGAACGTGCCTTAACATTTTACGGACATTACAGGAATTGAAGATACTTGGATATATAATAAGGAAAGAACGCAATTCTACCAGTTAATGACATCGAATGTCTATACTGGCAGGCTAAGGATTCGTAACCAAGCAAATACCTGATGTAAATGGGAAGTTCTCATCATTTTTGCACGATACTGTTTTGTCCGAGTTATCAGTCGAATGTTTTATCAGTGATGACAGCCTTCCCACGCACGATGACCTATCTATTGACTTCCCAGTAGCTCATCATATTTTGTGCAGAGTTCACATTATAAGCAACGATCTGCAGCGAATAAGCTAACTACATCATGTGGACATGATTTCTTCAGGATGTGCCAACCAATAAGTTTCACCTATTTCTGCAATTAATGTACACAAAATATGTATCAGGTGTACACTAATATCATTTTTACATCCCATTTGTGCCTCAATGCCATTCAACAGGAAAATCCCTGTCGCTGAAGGAGGAAGAATAGATTCGAGCGTTTGAGACACACACTCAACTTCTTCTGCATACCAATATCAACGTTTTTGAAGCCATGTACAAGGTTAAAAAGATGCATATTTTAAATCGAAAGTGCCATGTTCTATATTGTGTACCATATTTGTTTCTGCAAAAAGGCTACTGTTTGCACATATGTTATCACAATATAATCAAGAAAGGTGTCTAGTTGATTATTCGTAATACTCAGGATATTTTATACTTACGGAGTCGCATGAGTCTGAGCGCTTGTCAATTTTAAGAAAATGACAATGATAATCGCAGACTAGTGAAGATACTAATTTAAAGTAACTTAAATAAAATGTAACTAGACGAAGATGTTTCATGTAGTCAGTATTCTTGATAAACTTTATAAAGCAACAACAACGGATATTAGTGAAATATTTTATTTGCTTATCTAATTCAGTGTGTATATACAGCATACGAAGTTGGATGAATTCACTACATTTGAGACTTGTCTGCTAAATGTACCTATATCCTAGTATTGTATATCAACTTGTGACAAAATAGCTACATCGAAACGATCCATTTACGATGTATATATGTCAGCAAAGACATATTAAAATCTAGTCTTGAATATCAGCAAATTGGATAATTCAAAACTCTCCAAACAAGATACAACTAAAGTTAAGAGAAACAAATATTGAGATGGTGAAGATTTATAGCTCAGGTGGATGATTTTGATGGAGTTTTGTTCTCTGAGCTGGATGGTTTGATCGTGGAGCTTTCATAGTTCTTCTCAACGACATCATTAGCACAAACTTCAGGTTTACCTGAAGACTTCTACTTGAAATTTGTGTAGATGATGTCGTTCAGAAGAACGATGAAAGCTCCACAACCAAACCATCCGGCTCAGAGAACAAAATTCCATCAGGAAACATATACTTTCCGCAAAAAAAGAAAACTGAAGTTAAACAAAAGATGGGATTAAAATAATATTATTATTTTGTTTAAATAACGATTTGTAAAATGAAACATTTTCATCACTTCTTAAATAATATCTAATGTGAAATTACCTCACCCATGATATCGCTGCTTTCATCATCATCTGTAGCATACTCACTTTCCATTGCCCACAAAATTGGTGGTGAACGTGATTTTTCAACTATTTCTTGTTGAGTTATAAATGGATAATCTGTGTCAGTAAATTCTGAGAAATTATCATTATTATTATGATTATTATGGGATTTGCTATGTCTAGCAGTGTTTTTCGTTTCAATTTCATGCTCACCAAGAGCTTCAGAAAACAAACGATCCAATTCCTCAGAACTAATATCGGAAACTTAAGAAAAAAGTAGAGGAAATCTTTGTATAAGTAACATTGTGAAGTTAGGGGAAAAGAAAATTTGGTTTTTAATTTCTTCTGATTATTTCACGTTATTAATTTACCAAACAAACTAAATCATTTAAACTCTGTCCCGGGAGTTGAAGAAAGAATTATGACGCCTCAGGATGAAAGCCCAGAATCTTCAGAAGTCACGAGGCCAATGCACCTTCTAACAACCAGAGCAACAATTTTTGTAGGAACATGGGACTTCCGGACAATGTGGGACACTGGAAGGACCAGTCAAATACGTTCTATTCAGGAAGATTCGGAAGGAAGAACAAGTGCCGATGGACTGGAAAGAATGACACCTGACCAATATACCAAAGAAAGATCTGAGCAAATGTGAGAGCTACACAGGAACCACATTACTATCGGTACCACGAAACGTTTTCAATAAAGTGTTGCTGAACCAAATGAAAGACTCAGTAGACGCCCAAATGCGAGATTAAAAGGCTGGATTCCGTAAGTATCGATCGTGCACATCCTAAATTGCGACGCTACGGAACATCGTCAAACAATCAGTTGAGTGGAACTACTCACTATAAAACAACTTCATAGACTATGAGAAGGCGTTTGACAGTGTGGATAGGTGAACCTTATTGAAACTTCTTCAACGCTATGATGTACCTGAGATCATCAACACAATCCGGAATTCATACGACGGATTAAAGTGCAAATTCGTGGGTGGAGAACAGCTGACAGACGCATTCCAGTTGAGGAGCGGAATTAAACATGACTGCTTACTCTCTCCCTCTCTCTTTCTTCTGGTGTTCGACTGGATTATGCAATATCTGACTGTTATTTGATGAACATGACACTCAGAAAGAAATGCTTTCTCGTTAATTATTTTTATATAACAATTTGTAGGCAAAATTATCACACTGATTGTACCATTTATTTCTCAAGTAAATCACTCTGTTTGTTTTCGTTGTATTGTACAGACTAGATTATTGTCATTTTTGTATCATTTATATCTAAAACTTCATTATCACCATATGTTTTGTCTCGGTAAAAAATTATTTCCAGTTATTCTCCGGAAAACATGTTTGATATTGCAATTGACGTTGGTCGTTATTCAGAATTTATACCTTGGTGTAACCAATCAACTGTTTTGGAACAAGGTGAAAATAACATGCTAGCTTGTCTGGGTGTTGGATTTCCTCCACTTAGTGAATCATACATGTCTCGAATAACATTTCAGCGACCGAAACACTTAAAGGTGAGTGAATATTTATGTGTTTGTTCATTGTTGTCTATGAATGAATATGAGGAATATAAAGTGTAGGGTGTTCATTCCAAATGAAGATTATTCAACTGAGGGCAGAGTTTAGACGGTTTAACTTGTTTATTCTAGTTGCCGTTTTTAAGCACGGTTGTTTTCCACGGGATGGGGTTGCTGACTCTATGCCCAACCCTCCTTCTTTACTCGGGCTTGGGACCGGCAGTAACCCGAGAAGCGCTACAGGCGATGATTGACTGGATTATGATGATCTCGACATCTGAGGAGAAGCACGGAATACAATCGATAGAGCTTGGATGCAACTAGACGACTCGGATCTACCCCTTCTATCCCATACACATCAACAAATGCAGGTTAAGACAAGCAGTGTTGCAGCAGCCTCTGCCTCAGTAGGCATCAACATACACAACGGAAAAAGCAAGATCCTCAAATACAATACGACCAAATCACACTTGATGGAGAAGCTCTGGAAGAGGTGGAAACTTCCACGCATCTGGGAAGCATCATTCATGAATGAGGAGAATTCGATGCAGACGGAAAGGTGAGGATTGACAAAGCAAGAGTCGCATTCCTACAATTGAAGAACACATGGAACTCAAAACAACTGTCTGTCAACAAATATCAAAATCACAATCTTCAATACGAACGTCAAGATAGTTATGCTGTGCGGAGCTGAAACTTGGAGAACTACCACGACTATCATCAAAAAGGTACAGGTATTTATGAACAACCATCTACATAAGATACTCAATGTCCGTTGACCAGATACCATGAGCAACAGCCTACTATGAGGAAGAACAAACCAGCTTCCATTTGAAGAGGAAATTGGGAAAAGGTACTGAAAGTGGGTAGGATACACATTGAGGAAATCATCAAACTGTATCACGAAGCAAGCTTTAATTCGGAATCCTGAAGGGGAACAGAAAATTGGAAGACTAAAAGACATACTGTTTCGAGAATTGGAAGCAGATATGAAAAGGAAGGATAGTAACCGGAAAGGATTGATCAGGACCGAGTTGGATGCAGAATGCTGGTGGATGGCCTATGCTTCTTCGCGAGGGATAAAATGGGTAATTTATTAAGTAGATAAGTAAATGCAAATTGATGTAGTCGGCTTTGAGCCACAGTTTATGTAATAGAGGTCGAACACCTTAACCGTTAGACTACAGGTCCATAAAATTTCAATCAGGATTCCATAAGCTCTATCAATAATACTATATGGATATTATTTATTTAGTCATAAAGTCGAATTTGTGTAGTTGACATAAAACAAACACAGGATTAGGAAGAAACCACTAAGGCTACTACTGACTGTGACTAACTTTTGATTAACTAAGTTAAAGTAGACTGGAGTATTTTTAAGATACCAATAAATACCAGTCATTAAGATTAGGCATAGTGGTTAAGGCATTTTATCATTCTGTAGTTAGTTCAAACCTTGTCCCAATTAATTAAATTTGAACGGTCACACAGTGCCACTGAGCTTCGTGAAAAAGTGCAATTTTAAGTCGAACACATATTTTTACTGATGGACTAGATCCAAAAATACTAAGAGTCAAATATAAACGAAAAATCAAACATAATTATAATTTCAAATATAGGTGGTTGAAATGAAATGGTTCTCATGTTTCAACTAGAATTAGTGATGAATCTTAAGTCACAACGATTACCAGAATCTCTATTCCTCTGAACTTAAGGCCTAATACCATTGAGCCATTATTGTAAGAATGATTTGGTGATATTGTATCTTACTATGTATAGGTTTTTTGTGCTGGTCTTTGTGACGGATTAGGTGAGTACGGACTTAAACCTAAAAATTAGTGGTCGGAAGAAGTGTTTTAATTAATTCATTTGATAACGGACCTATGCTTTGTACAGATGTATTAGGAATGCTGGGGATATAGTGTTATTAAAGATAATATACCTAGTAAAAGTGCTGTACACCCAACAATCAGTTAAAAATAGATTATGGCAAGCTGGCCCCCTGAATGCCCTGGTACGGCCGAAAGTGGGGAGAGTCCGCTCTCCCTCTCGAAATACTCTCACACGGCCACGCGTATACAGCCTCTGCCAGGGAAGTTCTACTCATTGCCTTCTCGTGGCGGGGGTGTTGTTTACGAAAATGAGAGGACGAAAAGCGAATGTCCGGCGCTTTAACCGGATCACAAACCAATGGTGCACATGGGCTCCAGTATCCTGCGGGAACAAATGGCGTATGAACCAATCGTTGGTCACCGGCTACCATGGGATCGCATCTCCTTACGATGCTCCACTGCCTTGTGGGTTAGACCTTTAGGTCAAAGGCTCGGGGTGTGGCCCCCTAAGAAAACCACCTGCTTCGATTTGGGCACCCGGGCAGTATCACAGCCCACACACAAATGATGAACTCTTTATGTCTATGGAAATTATTTTTCTCGCTTCGAAAAACAATCAATTGATTCAAATTATTATCATTACAATTATTGTCATTATTAATACTATTATTATTATTACCATTATTGTCATTATTATTATTATTTTCCACATTATTCACCCTCTTTTATACTTATACAGCGGCTCGTCTTTGGTGGAAATTCGACTGTATCTAAACGTTCTCGAGTCACTGTCCGGTTGAAAATTGTATGTTACCACCGAATACGAGAACTGAAGCAGTTTTTCTGAAACCACGTGCACCATTCAAACTGGCTGCCTTCAACGTTCGCACATTTATGCAGGTCGGACAACAGATAGGGCTGGCTATGTCTTTGGAAAGTCTTAATATTGATGTTTGTTGTCTATCCGAGACCCGTATTCAAGACTCTGGCGAAGTACTACAAATTCGATCTCCATCTGTCGCTTCAAAAAGCTTGTTTTACGTGCGCTTATCCGGGGACCCTGTGACATCTTCGTCTGGTCTTGCTGGCGTTGGTGTCGCACTAAGCGCTAGAGCTGAGGCAGCACTAGTCGATTGGATCCCCATTAACAGCCGGTTATGTGCTGTTAGATTAGAAAGTTCCATCAAAGTGAGAAGAAATCAGCGTGAGAAACGATGTCTTTTCATCATCTCCGCCTATGCCCCGACAGATTGCAGCCCGGATGCAATCAAGGATGAGTTTTACCACCAGTTATCTGTTCTCCTCCAGAAAGTGCGTTCGACAGATATTGTAGTACTAGCCGGAGACTTGAGTGCTCAGGTCGGGCGTCTAGGCACAGAAGAGAGTCGTTTAGGTGGCCGATGGGGACTCGTTGGTCGCAGGTCAGATAACGGGGACCGTCTACTGCAACTTTGCACAGACCACAACCTGTTTCTGGCTAGCACTAACTTTCGGCACAGTCATCGCCGATGTGCCACCTGGCGTCCTCCCTCTGCATCTCAAGCCTGGACTCAGATTGACCACATCGCGATCAGCTACCGCTGGCGTGGTTGTGTACAAGACTGCCGCTCCTTTTGGAGTACCTATCTGGACTCTGATCATGCCTTGGTCTGCGCCAATCTTGCCTTACTTTTCAGTGGCCAACGGAGTGACCACCACCAAAAGATTGATGTTAGCAAGCTGGTTGCAACTTCTGTTGCAAATAAGTATCGAACCGAGCTAGTTTCTAGGCTAGCTACCACTCCACCGAAAAGTATAGATGAGCATTGGTTGCAATTGCATGACGCCATGAAAATGGCGGGAACAGTCAGTTGTGGGTTTGCGAAACGTCCCGCTTTTAAGCACTGGGTTTCTTCTGGTTCCTTACAACTCATTGAAGCCCGTCGGTCTACTCCGGGTGACCGTGAGTTTGACCATAAACGAAGGATGTTACGTACTGAAATTGGGCAAAGTTTGCGTAAGGACCGAGAAGCCTGGTGGTCGATGCGTGCTAATGAGCTGGAAGCAGCAGCTGCATCTGGTAACTACCGGAATCTCTTCCAGCTCATCCGAGCCACTGGCAGCAAGAAGCCTGGTGTGAGTGAAACAATCTGCGAGGATGATGGGATGCCAATCACTAACATCCATCGACGTCTTGGACGGTGGGCAGAATTTTTCGAAGGGCAGTTCAACTGGCCTGCTGCTCCGGCAACATCGGTCAGACTGTCCTGGCCTCCATGGCCGGTGACGACTGATCCACTAAACGAGGAGGAAGTCCGCAAGGAACTTCAACTCTTGAAGCGTTACAAATTACCTGGCCCAGATGACTTACCTCCAGCTCTTTTTAAAGATGGTGGTGACTTTTTGACTAAGGAATTGACGACGTTGTTTACCAAGGTTTGGGAACTAGAGAGTGTGCCAACGTCATGGAACCAGTCGATAGTTGTCCCTATCTTTAAAAAGGGTTCACGTCGTTCCTGCAACAACTATCGGGGGATAAGTCTACTTCCGATTGCGTCCAAGCTATTGGCTTCCGTCATACTTCGTAGGTTGTTCAAAACCCGAGAAAGATTGACTCGCGAGGAGCAGGCTGGTTTTCGTTCTGGTCGAGGATGTATTGATCATACCTTCACCCTCAGCCAAATGTTAGAACACCGTCATACTTATCAAAGGCCAACAATCGTAGTGTTTCTTGACATCAGGGCTGCCTTCGATTCGTTGGACAGGACTGTTCTCTGGGATTGTCTATTGAAGAAGGGTGTGCCTGAGAAGTTTATTAACATCCTAAAAGCCCTATATAAAAACACCTCAGGCAGAGTGAGGGCATACAACCACCACTCTCCGTTGTTCCATTCGAGCAGTGGGGTTAGGCAGGGTTGCCCAATCTCACCATTCCTCTTCAACTTTGCCATCGATGACATTCTGGAAACAGCTCTGATGAATGTAAGTAATGGTGGTGTGGATCTGTTGCCTGGAGAAAGACTTCTCGACCTTGAGTATGCGGACGATATTGTCTTACTGTGCGATAATGCCCAAGGCATGCAATCCGCACTTAATCAGTTGGCAATCAGTGTCCGTAGGCACGGTATGAGCTTTGCACCTTCGAAGTGCAAAGTACTTCTACAAGACTGGCAGGATTCTAATCCTGTACTCACCCTGGACGGTGAACAGATAGAAGTAGTCGAGAAGTTCGTGTATCTGGGTAGCTACATAAGTGCTGGTGGGGGTGTGAGTGATGAGATCAATGCACGTATAGTGAAAGCCAGAGCGGCTTATGCCAATCTGGGCCACCTTTGGCGCCTTCGTGATGTTAGTCTGGCTGTAAAAGGTTGGATCTACAACGCGTCGGTGAGAGCAGTTTTGCTCTATGCTTGTGAAACCTGGCCTCTCCGAGTTGAGGACGTTAGACGACTCTCTGTGTTTGGTCATCGTTGTCTCCGAAGGATTGCTGACATCCAGTGGCAACACCATGTTAGTAATGCAGAGGTTCGGCATCGTGTGTTCGGGCACAGAGATGATAATGCAATTGGTGTCACCATCTTGAAACACCGACTTCGGTGGCTTGGACATGTTCTACGAATGTCGTCCCAGAGAATTCCACGTCATGCATTATTTGCCGACTCTGGGACTGGTTGGAAGAAGCGGAGAGGTGGTCAGTGCATGGCATGGTGTCGTGGTATGAAAGAAAACTGCAAAGGGCTGGCTTTTGTCGGTCCTTCACGACTCCCTGGTTGGGGTCTGAGAGATGGTGCTACACAGTGGCTAGAGACGTTATCAGATATGGCTCAGAATAGAAGCCAGTGGCGATCCTGCTGTAACCTTCTCTTACTTTCTTCATAAAAAGTGGTTCTGTCTCCCTTACCTGAAAGATTTCTTCCGATTGTACCTTTTCGTTCCCTCGTTACTACCACACTACCTTACACCAGTCTCTTCGTTATTGTTCTCTTTTTCTTTTGCGCTCCTTAGTTTTTTTTGTACTTCTCTTCGAATTTTCATTGTTTTGTGTGGCGCATATATATTGGCGCTCTCTTGTACCAATATTCATGTGTTCAAATAAATAAATAAATAAATAAATGGCAAGCTGACTAACTCGCCCATATTACCTTAAAGAACACAATGTATTTCAGCAGTCATCATTTTAGATAGAAGCATGCAGCTAATATAAACCATATATCTGTCCTAGATCTTGAAAGTACAGAAATATAATAAATATACGGCCAACACATTTCTAATCACTTTCCAAGTGGCAAATAATTGTTAGGTCTAGTAATTCGAAACCTTTGTTGAATGTCTGATTCAACATTGAAAAAACGGATATATCGGTATAATTGTTTGTTTAGAATTTAACTGATAAGGTTTCGAGAATTATATGGTATTTTACCTCAGACATTGAGTAGTGTATACTGCTCTTGATTATTTCACTATGAATTTAATCTTAACAACTTAACAAAAAGTACGCAATCCACATTAATTTGAAAGCATTAAATTCACTATAGGTTTACCTACCAAACTGTTTGATGAATACTGCTTCAGAGTTATCTAGTTCTTCTGACTCGAGCTGACTAGATTCCACTTTCGTGGGTATGTCTGTTAAAAATCCATCAGGGAATACGGAGGAATTAGCAGCATTTGCAGCTGCAACAATAGGCTCGTAAAGTTCTCGTTCACCGGCATCGCGTTCTTCAGGAGATTCTAACGGATTTTTATCGAATTCTGCTTCAATACGCGTTAAAATAGGTTTAATCAAGTTCCAAACACGAGAAATTACACGATGGTGCAGCAAAGTTGGCAAAATTAAACAAATATTGAGAGCTATGTAAGCTAAGGTTACGCCGGAAACATACATGCTAAGTACGATGCATCCAATGCTAATAGTGCTTGAAATAATGAAAAACTAAAAGAATATTAAGGAAAGTATATAATTATTCATCAGCATTAATTGAATAACACATCAATATACTGGAAAATGGATGTGTTAAACAATCAGTCAGTCAGTCAGTCAGCTACAACGTAGAACCAGGCACATAGGTGCATCGGTCCAGGTTGCCATACCTCATTAGCACAACAAGATGAACACCGGATTCATAGGAGTGGTTAGGTCAAAGGTTGCAATAAGGATATGGTATAGGAAGGAAGAATTACTTAGTAGAAAGAAAGATATAAAGTCATTTTAATCTCTTAGTTTAAGAGAAGACAGGGAGTGTATACACCTACGCCATTGTGATCGATTCTGAGCCATGTCACCAAGAGTCTCCAACCATTGGTTACGATAGTCACGCGGACCCCAACCAAGTAGTCTGCATCTACCAACATGACTCAGACTAGAAGTTAGTGACTTCAAGCACTGATGCCACGTTTTGGTTTGGCCGCCCCTAACTTTCTTCCAACCATCCCGAACACCGGTTAGCATTGCACGTCGTGGTAATCGGTGTTCAGGCATACGTAATACGTGGCCCAACCATCTCAGTCGATGAAGATTAACAACCTCATCAACTGATTTACCATCATTCCCTAATACCCTACGTCTAACCTCACTATTACTTACCCGGTGATCCCAGCAGATGCCAGCAATATTTCTGAGGCATCTGTGGTCAAATACTTGTAGCTTACGGGTGTCTTCTACTTTTAAAGGCCATGTTTCGCTGCCGTAAAGTAAGACAGAACGGACTGCCGCGCAGTATACTCGTCCTTTTATTGATAGACGGATATCTCGCCTCCGCCAAAGGTGACGTAAGTTGGCAAAAGCCAAACGAGCTTTTCGAATCCGTGCTGAGATTTCGTCAGACACCAACCCATTAGGGCTGATCAGACTTCCAAGATAAGTGAAGTTGTCGACGCGTTCGACTACTTCACTCCCTATCCTTAGTTCAGGTGTTGACGCAGACCAGTCCTGAAGCAACAACTTGCATTTAGAGGGAGAGAAGCGCATACCAAACATTCTGGCATTGTTGCTTAGTGCTACCAGAAGACTCTGCATTTTGTCAGCGTCTTCACCAAACAGGACTATATCATCTGCGTATTCTAAGTCGATAAGTGGACCTCCTGGAAGGAGATCAATACCCGAGAATTCAGTCGACGAGAGTGTTATTTCCATCAATAGGTCTATGACGAAGTTAAACAAAAATGGAGAAAGTGGACAGCCTTGACGGACACCACTTGAAGTTGCAAAAGTAGATGACAGTTCGCCATAAGCTCTGACTCGACTAGTAGTGTTCGAGTAAAGAGCCTTCACAAGGTTTATGTACTTCTGAGGTGCGCCTTTCAATGACAGACACTGCCACAGAGTCTCGCGGTCTACAGAGTCAAACGCTGCTTTTAAGTCAAGAAAGACCACCATCGTCGGACGCCGATAGGTATGCCTGTGTTCTAGAACCTGACGAATGGTGAATATGTGGTCGATGCAGCCACGACCAGGTCTAAAGCCAGCTTGGTTCTCTCGAGTTTGTAGTTCACGAGTCTTAGTTAGACGTCTGATAATTATTGAGGCCAGTATTTTAGATACTATGTTTGTTAAACTAATCCCTCTGTGGTTATCACAGGATGATTTTCACCCTTTCTTATATATTGGGACGACCGTTGTTGCTACCTTGACGTGGTGGTCGGGCTTGCCTATCGTGATGAAGCAACCGAGCTATACTGGCTGGAACAACCGTTCCTCAAGGTCCTACCATGTCAGACAGGTCGGTTGAAGAGCGGTAAGACTAAAAGCAACAAACCCAAGGTCCGAAGGCGAAGTCGTACTGCTGACTGTACAGAGGTGTGACAGCAGTAAGGTGTTTCCTTCAGACAACCAGCATGACAGCGATGCTGCCTTCCCACAAGGAGGGGTGGGGTTAGAAAAGGTCGACCCTAAAAATGCACACCTCACCTTACCTCACGGATTTCCGTCTCCGGCGGTAAGGCCCTTTGAAGAACGGAGCTAACACGTCGAAAACCTCCCACAAAAAGGCCGTGCGCGACCGGCCTCAAGCAGTTGTCCCTTGGGCACTGCGGTCACGCTCTCAGGTCACTGAGACCACCTCTAATCCAACTTCCTTTTCAGGTACCTCCAGAAGAACCCTTCCACGGTGTGGGCAACCGGGAAGTGATAACCGCCCTCATACCTCTAACAGCACCCAAGACCACTGTGTTAAACAATAGGATGCTATCAGCAGTTCCAAAACCATAGCTTTAGATATACCTAATCTAAAAAGCTGAAGCTCAAGTCAATGAATCTTTCCGTTTCAACAATTTTGAGTACATAACTTAAAACTTTAAGTCTCTTAATTGATACTAAAGGAATCATGGTTTGATGCTATTTTACTATTTATCAAGATTTTCTATCGATGAGAGTAACAAATTGTTACGAACGAAATATGAATTAATCATCTCCTGAGATTAATGATCCCAGATCTGTGGTATAACAAACAGTAGCTCATCAAACACCCAGTTCCAAGTCATGTTCTTAGTGTATAATCAAGTAATGACAGCCGACCAAACCGCAGTAAGTGGGTTGGAGTTTGAACTTGTGACTTATTGGTTGAATACTGATTGCTTTAGTCATCATTTTATTATTCAGACTTAAAGAACAGATTTTTAATAGATTAGGTAGAGTCAAACTGTAGGACTGATGAACGGTTGAATTGCGGATATGACCATCAACGACATATGATACACACAATGATTAAAAAAATCATGTTTTTCATAACCATGCAAAAATCTTATTGATTTGTCTCTTAAGTATGATGAAGCACTCTAAGTAGGTGAGACTACAAAGTTGAAATTACTCTTTTCTATTTTCGATTTTATTGTCAACCAAGTTAGTATAGCTCTTTGTGTAGAGAAGATTCGCGAAACGTTACCTTTATTTATTTAAACACATAAACATTGGTACATGGAGGCACCAAATAGATATGTGCCATATAAACCATTCGATTTGTGTAAGGGCTGGGATACTACCCGGGTGCCCAAACCGAAGCAGGGTTACCTTAATTAACGGATAATGAATGCATGGTCGTGCAAAATTTAACTCCAAACAAGTTATTAGAAATGGAAATGTATGGTTAAGAGAAATAAACATGCCAATACAAAGTATGGAAATACACATTATAGTAGTGTTCGGGATGTGCAACCTCCAATTCTGTAAAATGTTGGGAAATTGAGATATTTATTGACAGTATAAACTGTATCAGAACCACCCTTTATTGATGATATATGTATAACTAAAAGTAGCACAATCAAAAATATGACAAGAAAGGAATTTAATGCTTTCATTAATTAATAATCAGTATTTCCTGACTACTCACATAGAATTAGTTCAAAAATATTAAATCGTTTGTCAAAAAAATAAGAAAGTCGGGTTGTTAAGACAGCCCCCTGTGATTTGCTTTTGCTCCCGTAATGTGAAATGGTTATGCATAAGGAGCTTGCTTTCTAAGAACTTTTAGAGGTATCTCAGACAATGAAAACATGATGAGAACAGTGTATTGCCACAAAGGAAGAAACTTAGACAGGGTAAAATCGACGTACTCTAAGTTGACTAGGATAGTTTTTATTTCATCAGTTTTTGAGTTATTGGATGCAATCTTTCCCTTATATATTACCACCTTTGACCTAACCACTGCTATGAATCCGGTGTTCATCTTGTTGTGCTGATGCGGTATGGCAACCTGGACCGATGTACATATGTGCCTGGTCCTACGTTGTAGCTGACTGACTGACTATTGGATGAAATGAGTATAATTTAACTTAGAATTTAATGATAAAACTCGAAATGATATCACGAGAAACTACCACTATGCCAAACTTTTGTTATAATTTTAGTTCAGAACTAGAAAAGGAAGCCAAAAGAGGAAGTTTAGTGTTGAAGGTCGTTATAGGAGGAATAGTAGGAACTGAAGAGAGAGGTTGATTATGAGTACAGTGGTCATGAGTGCTGTTATAGGTATGAGTGCGGTTATCACTTCCCGGTTGCCCACACCGTGGAAGGGTTGTTCTGGAGGTACCTGAAAAGGAGATTGGATTAAGGGTGGTCTTAGTGACCTGAGAGCGCGACCGCAGTGCCCAAGGGACAACTGCTTGTGGTCGGTTACGCACGACCTTTTTATGGGTAATTTTCGTGTCAGCTCCGTACTTGTTGAGACCTTACCGCCGGAGACGGATATCCACGGGATAAAGCGAGGTGTGCATTTTTAGGGTCGACCTTTTCTAACCCCACCCCTCCTTGTGGGAAGGCAGCATCGCTGTCATGCTGGTTGTCTGAAGGAAACACCTTACTGCTGTCACACCTCTGTACAGTCAGCAGTACGACTTCGCCTTCGGACCTTGGGTTTGTTGCTTTTAGTCTTACCGCTCTTCAACCGACCTGTCTGACATGGTAGGACCTTGAGGAACGGTTGTTCCAGCCAGTATAGCTCGGTTGCTTCATCGCGATAGGCAAGCCCGGCCACCACGTCAAGGTAGCAACAACGGTCGGGTATTTTAATTCAAGCTGCTAACTTAAAATTTGCTGAGGATAGAACTGAATTAGTGAGATGTAGGATACCCAAAAAAAACTATAAATCTAATCGATAACAAAAGAATATGAAAGTTAGGAATGCTCACCGAGAGAGGATGATTTCGATGACATGGGGCAAGCTTATTTGCGATATTAAGTGCACCATAGAGACAGCCAGATATCCAATGGCTAAGATCAGTGGTAGACATGATGCTCCCATTTTCCAAACAAATGGAAACAAGTTCTGAGAACGAACCAGATGAACGCTTAGAATCTAAAGTAGGAATTGAGAATTTTTTATACTTCATTGCCTTCTTAAAGGAATAGATGAATTTGTAGTTGAAAAGTTGTTTGGAAATCACAACAAAAGTTTAAAACGTGAATTAACAGTTATCGCCTGATACTTAAATAGTCACAAAATCGCTATCCTAAACAAATTAATTGAGATGTGTCACATTTGGGTGGAGAAACCAGGCAGGTTACTTGTGAAGTATGTATGACATTTTACTCCTATATCCAATGCTGATTAGAATAGGACTAAACTAGTAAAACAAAATTGACGTAGTTAGAAAAAGATATGGTATTTGGTATACGAATATGCTTGTTATTAATGAGTTGTGTATGGAGCAATTTCAACGAGTTTGCCAGAATCCTCAGGATGATTTGTTAGTCAACAAGATGATCTAGGTACTGATAGATCATCGATCACAAAAGTTGATAACGTTTACAACTACAGATATATCCACTTTCTGTTTTTCAAACCTTGAACATTTTATTACACGCTATTTCTTTATATCACTTGTTTGTCTTCTTATTTTTACTCGAGCTCCCAATTTCGGGGAAGCCACTATAGTAAACTTTGGGGAATAAGTATACTTATTCCTTTTCGTACTATGAAAAGGCGTGAAAACTTAAACCAATCCAATATCGTAGAACTTTGTCGAATGTCATCAAGAAATAGTTGCCGCATAAATGCTGAGTCACATCTCTTTTTGTAAACACCATAGTAAGATGGGCAAAAAAGGGCAACGTAGGGTCTATGTCATTGGCAAATCTATATGTCGACCAATAAATAGCCTAGTACCATCAAATATCACCGGATGTGACGCAGGAGTTTATCACATGAAAATCGGTTGGACCTATGATAGGAACAAATGAGATATATAATTCCTCCAAAAAAGTACAGCGCATATGCAAACCACAAGCAATAACAGTAAATTCCTAGATTATCAAGTACGATGAGGAAATTTAAATTTTTCAGTCATCTAGATAAATAAAATGCAACTTCTCAGTAATGTACACTGATTTAATTGGATGGACAGTTGTTTGCAAACATACAAGATGTGGCAGGGATCTCATAAAGCCATTCAAATGAAACCGTTGATAACGAAAACTTACAAAACTCCTTAGGAAAATGTTAGTCATTACTAATGAAAAATGCTTATTCTAGTACATTTAACATGAAGAACAGCATCAGCAGAATGGCAAACTTCAGCGAAATATGGGCTACGCTAGCAAACTTTCCCCTCCATCTAGAGTGAGAAGTTAAGTCAGTAACAGATATGAACGATCTTGACTACGTAAACAATCTCAGAACCCCATACATTCCAAGAAAATCAAATACATAACATACAAATTTTGCAAACACGTACCTAGAAAAAGCCTTGCCATTAGTGGTTGTAAGAGGTTGCATAACAGGACAAGAAACAACACCAGACAGGAAATAAACAGTGTACTGAAGTTGCTTTTTACAAATGATCTATAAATAATGACTTGTAACTAAAAACTCACAAGAACACAAGGTGTACGAATGCTGTGAAAACAAGACTTGGTACCACACGCTCCCACAGAAGTATTGTCTGGATGCGAAGAATTATGAACTCCCATTGACTTATAACACTATAGACATCATAGAAAAACTTATCATGGGGACTTCGCATAGTGATATTCAGTTTTTGGTAGATTAGTAATTAGGCCGGGGGAATGTGGCTGCTGAGAGAGTGTAGGGAAGTGTGATTCTGAGAATCTGGAAGAAAGAATAGCAGGAGGAAGAGAATTCAGTGCATGCGATATTTACTTATTTATTTTAACACCTAAACATTGGTACAAATGGGCACTTGTTGTGCTAATGAGGTGTGGCAACTTGGACTGATACATACATGTGCCTAGTCATACGTTGTAGCTGGCTGACTGACAAGGAAACACGAAACAAATGCGCCTGTAGTAGTTATCACTGATTTGTGTGAGGGCTTGGATACGGTCAGGGTGCCCAAACTGAGGCAACTGGTTTTCTTAGGAGGCCACTACCCGAGCCTTTGACCTAGAGGTTTAATCCACAAGACAGTAGAGCAACGTAAGGAGATACAGTCCCATGGTAACCGGTGTCCAACAATAGGTTCATACGCCATTTCTTCCCTCGGGATCCTGGAGCCCATGTGAACCATTGGTTTGAAATCAGGGTTTTCCAACTCCTCTAGATGGGTCCTCCCTATCTATCAACCAGGGTAAAGCTCCAGAGATTCGCTTTTTGTCCCCTCAATTTCGTAAACAACACCCCCGCTGAGAGAAGACAGTGGCTGCATACGCACGACCACGTGAGAGAATTTCAAGAGGAAGAGTTGACACTCCACACCCTAGGGTGGGCAAAGCTCTGCCGTACCAGGGCACTTGTAGGTACACATATTGTACACATAAGATGCGGTAAAGTGGTGAGACTACAATTCATGGACGACCTTTGAGCGACGCCGAAGTGACCTTGAGAGTGTCTACCTAATTGCTAGGGATGAACGAGGGTTACAAAGCAGTTTGAAGGGTTAAGAATTAAATCAGTTTTTCATCACGAACTGACATCAGCTAAAATGCCAAGACGCTATTTGGCCAAATGAGTGAGTAACCACTGATTGCATTCACATATTACATTCCATCTTCAACACGAAAGTAACACGTGGCTCACCCATGACTTTGGTTTATCATAACTGCTTATAGGATAACATTTAGGAGGATACAAAACACGAAGACGTACGCCCCGAAACAATAACCATTTAATAGTGGGTAAAGAGCTTAAAAACGCTTAAGCAAAATGCTATTTAAAATGTAAGAATAATCAAACCACTTGAAAAACAACAGAAGCTGGACAAACTTCGGCTAAACTACTTTTAGCTGGATATGTAGGATTGAACAAGGCACAAGACGGGTGCCTGTCACGGACTAAAATGACCTCAGTTCATTTTGCACGACCCTGAAGAGATTTCAGATTCGTGTATTAAGGACAGAAGGCCTATGACCTATATTATTCCTTTTCCAGTATGCTTCTGTGAGTGTCTAGTCTTCCCTTAAATGAGTCAGTTGATGGTGCGGACACTACTGCTTCGTGTAATAGGTCCCAAGAATTGATGACTTGGTTTGAAAACCTATATGCCGCGACTATTTTCTTCGTTCTTGGCTTTTATGCTCACATGTTATGTTCTCTGAGATGTTTCGAAAAAGAGAGTATACATCAGGTCCAAAATCATTCCATTACGTCAAAATCAGATCAGCTCATTATCTGCGACAAGATAGAGCAAATAGGTCTAGCTCGTACGACCAGGTAAATGTTACTGATCCCTAGCCAGATCATTTGAGTCACCGAATATCGAAAGGATCATAGATCTTTGTCAAAGTCAAGGACAACAAACACGCATCAGTTAATCGTACGCCACGTACTGGCCCATGCGTTGGTGGTCACACTTTTGCTTGTACCTACTTTAAATGATATATTTCTGTAATAACGTCGTTTGTGTTTTATGATCTTCAAAGCATCCATAGTACCTTGATACGACGAAGAGGTAATCCACGTTAGGTGCTGACCTCGAGGTGTGACTTCGACATTGGCTGTTGGTCACACCATTCCCGTCCAACTCGAGTAGGCCCCCAGTCGTTCGACGGAGATCATCTAGGTTGGTGATCCACACTGGTGAGCAAGACTTCGAGTGACTCAGCCTATCATCATTATCTTTATTATTGCACTGTATACATATTCTTTTTCATTTTTATCATCGCCTATGTTAACCAATTACTGTGAACATCCGTTGCTTGATATAAATGTCGATTAGTACTTGAACTTATATAACCAGTACGCACATCTGTTTGTAACTTATCCACTGGTATAAGCGAGACAACACTAACTGTCGATTATAGATTCATCTTTCCGCTTAATCAATACCAACTGTCTTCCGTCCGAAACTATCTACTAGTTTTTTTACTTACTTGACCACTAACTGCATAATTTCTGATTGCTGAGTTCCATGGCCAAACAGAGGATGCGAATGCTAGAAATTTATAGTGAGTTTGAACTATAAATTTCCTGCAGTCTTAGATCTCGTTTAGACTGTTCGTCAGGCAATGCTTCGTATTTCGCTTGAATTAATTTTGAACTTATACGAATTCAGCCCAGAACGCTGCGTTAATCCAAGAATTTAATCAACTGTATCTCGTATATTATTCAGATCAGAACTACTGCTTGCTTCAAATTTTCATTACTTGAGAGCAAGAGTAACCCATGCGAGTTTCATAATTGCTTTAGATTATTTCGTACTATGTCTATGATGCATAATAACATTTCGTAGTTCCTTTCACGTAGAATGGTTATATATTCTGTCACTGCCGTCAGGTTTTATTCGAAATCATATGCATTTATTACTCATAGGCCGACATACGATGGAAAACCTATTGCATGTGCACGAGCAATATCAGTCCATGTCGTAAATAGACACTTCGTCGTACGTAATATATCACTTAACACTAGATAATGAGCCCTTTGCATCAGCCTTCTACGAGTCGACATAACGTAAAGACGAACTGTCACGTGCAATCAGAGCAAGGGAATAGTTCGACAATGAAAACTAAATGCAGTATGTGTTCCTACGACCATGCCATTGATAAATGTCCACAGTTCTTAGCGCTTACAGTTCAAGACCGATGGTCTCACGCTAAAAGCAAGGGTATCTGTTTCGTCTGTCTTAGACAAGGACATAAGGTTAATGAATGTAAGATGACAAGGCTCTGTAAGGTTGACAGTTGCGAGAGGAGACATCACGCTCCGCTGCACACTGACTCGACAAGCAACGTCGTAAATGATAAGCCATCATGCCCGGAATATAGGAAAAGAGTTGTTAATCATAACAGTAAGATACAGACATTAGAGAACGAAATACGTAAGCCTTATGACGTAGAGCTTTCAGATGCTTATTCAAGTGATAAATCATTATCAGTAGACAACAAGGCGGCTATAAAGATTGTGGAAGGTGGCACGCGCTTCGACAACGGTCATTGTGTAGTTTCTATACCGTGGGAAAAGAATCCAGATATGAGAGTGGATAATTATGAAGTAACAAACCCTAGATTACAAAGTTTGAAGGGTATGTTGTCCAAGGATGTCAGTCTGCACATCAGGTATATCAAAAGTATTGAAAGTGATTTTACTAAGACTTACGCGGGGAGGGTCTTTGAAATATATCTGCAGTCTTATTATCGCCCTCGATGGTATTTACCTCATCGTGCAGTATTAAACATGAAAAAACCAGAAGAACTTAGAGTGGTCCTTGATTGTGCCGCCCAGTTTGCAGGGGTTCCCCCAAATGATATGATTTATCAAGAACCCGATACCACTGCTGAGTTAAGGTGTATATTAATAAGTTATCGCAAGGAGGCAGTTGCAATCCCTGTAGATGTTGAAGAAATGCTCATTCAAGTGAAGGTCCCTGAGTCTGATCGAGGAGCTTTAAGATTTCTGTGGTGGCAAGTGGGAGACATGTCGAGGGAATCATCCGAGTTTCAAATGACATCCCATCCATTTGATGCCACATCATCGCCATTTTGCGCGAACCTTGCCCCGAATAAGACGGCTCAAATATTCTCTGACGGTTATGATGGTTATGTTGTAGATGGTGTCAAGAATAATTTCTATGTTGATGATTGCTTGATATCCATTCCCACTTGTGATCAGGCAAAGAGTTTCGTTAAGCATATAAGTGAATTATTATGTAGAGGAAGTATACAAAAAATGACCGATCTTGAATCTTGGTTCAAATGTCCTATTTTATTGCATGGCGAATTTTATATAACAATCACTGACTGTACGGAACCTACTCTTGACGATATTGAGTTTAGAAAAACTGCTGTGGTTAACTTGAGTAGCATAAAGTACAACAAGACACCTGTTCTCTCTTATTATTCCGAGTGGTTGAAATTAGTCAGAGCTGTAACCTGGTTTAAAAGGTTCATCGAATTCCTGATGGTACTTCGTTCCCCGAGTCATGAAGGATCCGTTCATCTAGGATGTTTAAAGGTCAAAGAGCTTGAGATTGCCAAGCGTAAGATTTTATTGATGGTTCAGAGAGAAGTGTATGGAGAATTACTTAGTGAATTTAAAAACAGCAGTAAAGTAGTAAGCCATGATGATCTGAAAGGTTTATCGTTGATAATGCTTGATGGGTTACTCTGCGTTGGAGGTCGACTAAGATACTCAGATTTCCCAAATGCTTTTAGATATCCAGTAATTTTACCTAGTCGACACTTAGTGACGGAAATGATAATTAGACATTGTCATAAAGAACAAGGACATGTAGGAAGATCATTAGGAAAAGGGTATGGATATGTGTTTACTTGTTTGCAAACATGGGCAGTACATATTGAAATGATGTGTAATTTGATCACTGATTCATTTTTAATGGCTCTATTACGTTTTATTGGAAGAAGAAGGAAACCTCCGGAGATTTACAGTGACCGTGCGTCAAGCTTCGTGGTGACAGTTTCTGAGTTAAGCAAGTTTGTGCAGCAGTCGAATCAGAAGATAAACATTGAATTGTCAGCGACGCCCTCATCCAACAGCATGGGTGGAGTTTGGGGAAAAGTGATTAGGTCTATATCACGACTGTTATTGTTGATCATCAGAGAACAAGTG